GTCCCTCCCGTCACGCTCCTGAACAATGTGTTCAATGTCACCATCCCACCCCCTTCGCCTTATCTGGCCTTCAAGCTCTCGGTGAATGACGGCGATCTGAGGGTCTACGCTACCCCCACGGGATCTAGATGGGTCCAGCTGGCTCTCTTTATCTTGCTGGCTATCATACCTGTTGCCACTGCGGTCGGAGCAGTGTACATTTACCTCAAGGCTTTTTACCAGGTCAAATTCAATCAAATCGGTGTCACCGAGAAAACTTCGACTCTCGCTCCGATTTTGGGCGCCCTTCTGAAGATAACCCGGACCTCTAACGAGAAGGAAGCCAACCCGGAGGATAACCAGCGCTCTGTGAGCCCGCCAGGACTTCCGACTGGGGCCGCCATTGGGGCTGTTGTGAACACCCCACGACGCACTGTCCTCATTGCCACCATGGAATACGACATTGAAGATTGGGCGATTAAGATTAAAATTGGTGGCCTGGGCGTGATGGCGCAATTAATGGGCAAAAACCTTACCCATCAGGATCTCATATGGGTGGTCCCCTGTGTTGGAGGCGTGGACTACCCTAGGGACGACCCGCGTGAACCGATGGTGGTGACTGTTCTTGGAACAACATACCATGTTGATGTTCAGTACCATCGGCTGCATAATATAACATATGTTCTGCTAGATGCGCCCGTGTTTCGAGCTCAATCGAAGTCGGACCCGTACCCTGCCCGGATGGACGACCTCAATTCAGCCATTTTCTACTCTGCCTGGAATCAATGCATTGCTGAAGCCATCAAGCGGTTCCCGCAAATTGACCTCTACCATATCAACGATTACCATGGTGCGGCAGCTCCACTCTATCTCCTACCTCGAACGATTCCTTGCTGTCTGTCTCTGCATAACGCGGAATTTCAAGGCCTGTGGCCAATGCGAAATCCCCAGCAAATACAGGAGGTCTGCCGAGTGTTCAATCTGGATCAGGCGGTGGTCAAGAAATATGTCCAATTCGGCGACGTGTTCAATCTCCTTCACTGTGCCGCAAATTACCTGAAAATTCACCAGAACGGATTTGGAGCAGTGGGTGTCTCGAAGAAATATGGCAAGCGATCGTATGCCAGATATCCCATTTTCTGGGGTCTCAAGAGCGTTGGAGCCCTGCCAAATCCCGACCCGTCGGACTTGGCTGACTGGGACAGCAATGCGAGCAAGCAGCCTGAGGAGGTCACCGTCGACCTAGAGTTCGAGGCCAGCCGTGGTGCACTGAAAAAACAAGCACAAGAATGGGCAGGGCTGAAGGTTGACCCCGACGCTGAGTTGTTTGTCTTTGTCGGGCGCTGGTCCATGCAAAAAGGCGTCGACCTTATCGCGGACATCTTTCCCTCTGTTTTGGATGCTCACCCAAAGGTGCAGCTGATGTGCATTGGACCAGTCATCGACCTCTATGGGAGGTTTGCAGCTTTGAAGCTGAACCGGCTCATGGAACTCTATCCAGGGCGTGTCTATTCCAAGCCAGAATTCACTGCACTGCCTCCCTTCATCTTCAGTGGCGCTGAATTCGCATTAATCCCATCGCGGGATGAACCATTCGGTCTCGTTGCTGTCGAGTTTGGCCGCAAAGGGGCTTTGGGTGTGGGATCACGGTATTACTCTAGTTAAACGATGCTACGAGTATCAATGCTGACGTATGTACTTCATATAGGGTCGGTGGCCTTGGACAGATGCCAGGATGGTGGTACACGATGTGAGCTTCTTCATCTTATCATTGATACCGTGCAGAGGCGGAGTGCTAATGTATTCTAGTGAGTCGATGACAACGAAACACCTCATCCACCAGTTCAAGTTGGCTATCAATGATGCTCTGAGATCATCTCAAGAAACACGCGCCATGATGCGTGCACGATCAGGCAAGCAGCGGTTTCCTGTGGCGCAGTGGGTTGAGGATCTGGAAATTCTACAGACTACCTCGATCTTAAAGCACGCAAAGCACTCGAAAAGCCAGGACCGCAATTCATGGAGGATATCCGGCGTTAGTACAATGGTTCCCGATAGACCTCGCAACTTTCGGTTTTCGTCAAGCTCCAATACCAGTCGCGAACAGAGCCGTTCACGCAGCTCGGACAACTCGGGTCCCCCCAGCAGGCCCATTACCGCGGACGCGAAACAAGCCGGAGGTCGGCCAGGCCATAGCCACGTTGCCTCGCTGCCAGCCAATTTGCCTTCGAACGTCAACATGTTCAACGACTCTGACACTGACAACGAGTCAAGACGCAGACCATTATCCTCTACCCCCCGTGGAGGCCCTCGGATTGTTTATACCCCTGGCAACGACGGCCAAGATCTCGAGCACATGGCAGGGGTCGCCCAAGAGGACTTCAGTCCTCATCTTGCCTCGTATCTGTCGCCGTCGGGGGCACCGAATACTCCCCCAACCTTCGCTAACTCCGGTGCCAGTACACCCACTCTCGGTGCCGGACCGGACGATGGTCTGCTGGGACGAAGGAATCTAAGCCCGTCAATGATGAGTCTAGTCAGCATTCATGATATCGTCAAGGAGAAACAAGACTACAACCTCCAGAAAGTCAATCCGTTCTTCACAGATGCCAATCATGAATACGCAGCCAAGTTTGAACGGAAGCTTGCTGGTCTGAACGGCAAGAATTCCGAGGACCAGTTGTGTATCGAGGAATTCATCGAGAAAAGCGAAAAGGACTGGTTCAACCGATACCGAGATGTCAAACTGGGCAAGTCACCACTCCCGTCTCCATCTCCGTCTATATTCCGCTTCAGAGGTCAGGATGCTAGCCGACCACCTACCCCTGCAGCTAATGGACCAGTTGAGGATCCGAATGGGGGACAATTCCTTCTCCCGAAGGATTATGTTCCCCCGACAGGCTTGAAGCGTTTCATGCTGATCAAGCTGGGCGACTGGCCCTTGTATTCCATTGTGCTTGCTATCGTGAGTTTGACCCTGTCCCAGGCGCTTCCCGAATCACCCTTTGACAAATGATTGCAGGGCCAAATTCTCGCCTTGAACTCCTATCAGATTACTCTGTTGAACGGCGAAATCGGAGAGACAGCAGAAAAGTTGTACATCCTGGCTTCGATTTATCTCGCGTCCTCAATCATCTGGTGGATGATTTTCCGCCTTGTCCCATCCGTTTACGTGTTGACCATCCCTTACCTGGTATGTGAAACCGTTTCCGAATTGTTTGCCGTCTAAGCTTTCATGCTAACCGTGTCGAAGTTGTACGGCTTGGCCTTCCTGTTCGTCGGAATCGCGGGCCCTATCAGCAACAGCATCAGCCAGACGTGGATGCAGAATGTGGGCACCGGATTGTATTCCTTTGCGTCGTCCAGTGGATCCATCTTTTTTGCTCTCAACTTTGGAGACGAAGGTATGTTGATGGGCAAGATCTGTCAATTAGTTTTCTCTAACAATCCGTGTATCTAGGCGGGGCGCCTCTCAGCTCCTGGATTTACCGAGCGACCGTGATTCAGGGTAGCCAGCAGCTGTGCATCAGTTTTCTCTGGTACTGGGGTAGCTGGATGGCAAGCCTCAACCAAGAGGGCAGTACGCGCTTTAGTCTTAGCATAACTGACCCAAACATCTTGCTCGGAATCGGCGTCGGCCTGGCTTGTGTGTTGTGGCTGCTGGGGGCCTTGGTCTTCTTCGGACTCCCTGCATACTATCGGCAAACACCTGGTCAGGTTCCGACCTTCTACCTCTCGCTCTTCCGGCGTCGGGTCATCCTGGTATGCTTCTGTCGCTCTGCACCCTTTTTGGCTTCTAATATCGTCTAATATCGGGAGCTAACTGAAATATATTCCAGTGGTTCTTCTACATGGTGTTCATCTCCAACTACTGGCTATCAGCGCCGTACGGACGGAACTGGTTGTACCTGTGGTCCAGCAAGCATGCCAAGGTCTGGCAGATCATCCTGCTGGTTCTTCTCTTCTTCATCGTAGTCTGGGCGGCTGCGCTCTGGGTCTTTCACGTGCTTTCCAAGCGACATGCCTGGTTCATCCCGATCTTTGCCATTGGGCTGGGAGCCCCACGATGGGCGCAGATCCTATGGGCCACCTCCAACATCGGCACCTATATTCCTTGGGCGGGTGGGCCAGTTGCTGGAGCCATCCTCGGACGGGCGCTCTGGTTGTGGCTTGGGGTGTTGGATAGTCTTCAGGGTATTGGTGAGTTTTTCTGTTCCTCGTTCACTGGGATTCTCCATATCTAACATTGGACCGTCCACATAGGGTTTGGAATGATTCTGTTGAATACCATGACTCGGTTCCACGTCACCTTCACCCTCCTGGCGGCGCAGGTGGTGGGTTCGGTCGCCACCATTCTGGCTCGAGCCACAGCTCCTGATAAATTGGGGCCAGGCAATGTCTTCCCTGATTTCTCGGCCGGGGTAACCGCCGGATTGAGCAAAGCGGACTTTTGGGTGTGTCTGCTGTTGATGCTCTCCATCAACGTCATCTGCATCTTTTTCTATCGCAAAGAGCAGCTTTCAAAACCATAGTTGTTGCATATATTGTTGTCTAATTCTTTTGAATCAGTCTCTTATCATTTAGAGATCTGATTAGCATTGTTTGGAGTAACTGGGGGATCTTTGTCCAGTGTTCATGTTTGGTTCAGTTACAGCTGAGATACAAATTGTATATTTTTATTGGTGATGATGTACATGGGACATGTATTAATTCATTCGAACTGTGGGACTCCGGGATGAGGGTATATATTAATGTGCTGATAGTGGTATATTGAGTGATAGGATATAATTAGCTCGAAGGACAGCAATATCCCGTCCAATGTTGATATCTATCATAGTATGGAAATAAAGTATGGAAATAGATAAATTAATTTATCTCTCCGGATCAGGTGGTGGCTCAAGCGGGATAAGTTCGGCCCGAGCCATCCCGGCTATTCCTGTTCAGGCCTGATCTCTCAGGCTGCTTGCATGACATTAAATTAAATACGAGATGATTTCCCCCTCTTTCTTTCGCGTGTCCAAACTTATTTTATCCCTTACCAGTCCTTCTTGTAATCCGCGTTTTGTTTTGTGTTTCCTGTGAGAGCCGTTGTTCTGCCACTCTTTTCAGAGCAACGCGATTCTCGTTCACTCGTTCATCTCATTCGTCGCGTCGCCCTAAACAACTTGTTTTCGTTGCACATTACTCTAGGGATTTTGCCCCAGTCGCTCATTTCCATCCACCATGAATCGCTCACTTTTCTCCATTTTCATCGCTGTCTGCGTCTATGCGCATTATGTGTTTGCCTCTTTAAGTTCGAGCGAGATTGCCAACTCCTTGAATGAATTGGCGCAACAAGGTTTCACTGCCAAGGATCTCGTATTGGAGATTAACTCCACCGCCGATGCCGGTCCAATGCGTGTAGGTGACCCTGGGTATCATGCAATACAGTAATCATTCACAGCTTTAAGGATGTGTAACCCTGATAAGATGTAGGACGTCTATACAGAAATGGATACAATGGTCACCGTGGTTCTCACGGATGTTGAGTTCATGACCAATACTCCCATCATCACCGATCAAGCCGAGGAGCAGACCGTATATGAAGGGTATTCAAATGTGAGGTCATCGGCCTAATTCATACCAACGAAATATGTAACTTATCTCATTGGCTGCTAGTTCGTACAATCGCTCCTCGAGCTCATGGACGCCTTCTCCAGCAGCGCAACCGAGTTGAAGTCGATTGACTCAACCACCAAGGATAAAGTCCCTTCGGAAGTTCGCATCCTGGAGAGTGCCGTGGACGTGAGTAGTTCTTCTATTTTGAGCGGCTGAGGTTCACACTAATATCTTATCAGGCCTATTTCTATAATATTATCGGCCTCTTCCCGGCCAACAGCTCGTACAATGCCCAAGCCAGTAACCAGAAAGCCCAGGTGGACACGCATTGCTTCCAGGCTATCTGGGCATTTGATCTCGGTGATGGCAGTCAGTCTACCACTCAATCGCGCAGGAACACCTCTCTTCATACTCGACGCATGATGCGAAACTCTGCTTAGGTTGAGCTATGTATATTTTGTAAGGACTACGCGGAGGCGAATCGTTGACCGGATGGTGACTAGCGGAGCCCGCTGCTATGTATTTCTAACTTTTAATTATCTTGTACCATCTTAATATTGTGACTAGCACTTTCAGGCTTTACGCTCATAGGCGAAAATTGTTTAGCTGGGTATATACTTTGAATGTAAGCAGAATCTAGCGATATCACCCCTGTGGCAGCACAAACGTCCTGAGGTAGATAATGCGTAAAATAGCCACAGTTCGTAGTTCTTTTCTATCATGAGGAATGCTTTTCAAGGTCTATATTTGGCATTTAGTCTCATTGCTCGGATAACAAATGGCAAATTCCCCCTATGGGCCCCGGGTGAGAGCCAACCCTAAGATCTTTCCTAATGGTGGATTTCAAATCCTAGAGTGTTTGATTTGAAATGGATTAGAAATTTAATAGACGTAATTACTCTAGAGTAGAGATCCGAGAATTATAAATTGATCATTCAAAGCCGTAAGACCTAAGGACTAACCACTGCAGACTCGTCGACAACCTCTTTCACAGTCTTCTTACACTCCATTCTCGTTTTTAAACAATGGCACCATTTACCCTTCCAAAATACAAGGGCTCGACGGTGGACGTGTCAATAATTCACGCAGGGCAAACATCCGTACCAACAGCCTATGTTTTCAAAACCACCATTCTAGGCCATGACATCCTCAATATACCGTGCTACAGCTTCTTGATCGAAAACAGGAATAACAATGAAAAGGTTCTTTTTGACCTCGGACTGAGAAAAGATTGGAAAGAAAAGCTGCCACCAACGAGTAAGCCTGCATTGCTATTTCTAGCCTCATTTCGGGCGACGTAAACCTGTGTCGCACATGATAGCCTTTCATGTAAGCTGACTGAGGCTGGCATTGTAAGTCCTCAACCAGATCGAATCGTCCAAGGCGGTCCTGGAAATTGAACATGATGTTGCCGATCAGCTTCGCGCAGATGGTATCCCGTTGGAATCCATCAGCGCCATCATCTGGTCCCATCATCATATAGATCACACCGGTGATCCATCTTGTTTTCCTCCGTCCACGAAGCTAGTTGTGGGACCTGGTTTCAAGTCCCACTCTAGAACGTTCCCCGGCTATCCTTCGAATGCCGACTCTCTGGTCACTGATGATGCCTTTATTGGACGGGACCTGGTGGAGCTCGACTTTACTGATTCCATTGAGATTGGAGGCTTCCTCGCCATCGACTTCTTTGAAGACGGCAGCCTGTATCTGCTGAGGTCGAACGGACATAGTAAGTAGCTGGTCATGTACAGCATGGCCTAGATACCGACTGATCATCGATTTTCTTGTGCTATAGCTTGCTTACACTCTTTTAAATAGCCGACGACCACATCAGTGCCCTGGCGCGTACCTCCGAGAATCGCTTCGTCTTTCTGGGTGGGGACATCGCTCATCATCCGGGAGAGTTCCGCCCAACCAAGCAGCTCCCACTTCCGAGTGAGATTAGTCTATGGAAAGTGGGCCAACAGTCGGCCGAAGCGGTATCCGTGTGTCCTGCCTCTGTCTTTGAAGCGATATCCCCTGCGAAGGGTAGGGGCCTAGATGCAAAAGTCACCCCTTTCTACGAGCTAAATGCTGCGATGAACGAAAGTCTGGGAGATGCAGAGGCTGCTCTTGAGAAAATGATGACATTCGATGCAACAAGCGAAGTTTTGGTTATTATTGCGCATGATGCAAGCCTCGGGGATATCCTGCCGTTCTTCCCCAAACGCATGACTGACTGGCACATGGAAGGGTACAAAGCCAGCGGGGCTTGGAGATTTCTGAGGGATATTGCGGTTGTTATCAATGGAAGCACAAAATAGTCATTCTCACATGCCATTAATTTATGACCGGAAGTTTATGGCATCACTCTAAGCCTCATCCCAATCATGATAGTGGTGCGGCTGTATGTGCGGAGTGGGGTTCAAGGATATATTGCATATTCATTGGGTCCAACTTTGAGTCTAAATCACCCCATCTTGGCCATAAAGTTACTGCGCAACTTATGGGTCACGCCCGCGTCTATACGTATCCTAGTTAGCTGTCAATTATGTTCAAGACTGTACATAAAAGGCCCACCACATGCATTTTGCTTACATCCGAAATCTGAGTTCATTATCAACTTCTCATCCCATTGCAACATCGCCAGATTAATCTTTCAAGGCCCGCTTCATTCCATGCCCTCTCCAACAACCGTTATTTTTGTCCCCGGTGCGTGGCACAGCCCACACTGCTTCGACGAAGTCGTTCGACTGCTTCAAGCCGAGGGTTATCATACTGATCTTGTTCACTTGCCCTCGGTTGATCCCATACAACCTCATTCCGACTTCTCGGAAGATGTGTCTCAGATTAGAAATCAGATCCAGGTTGCAATTGATGCTGGGCAAAGAGTGGTAGTTACGGTGCACTCGTACGGCGGACTTCCGGGCTCTGAAGCGATTCGTGGGTTAGACTGGAGTACGCGTCAACGCCAGGGCCAACCAGGGGGCGTAATTCATCTGTTTTTCTGCTGCTCCTTCATCGTTCCAGCAGGAAAGTCTCTGATTAGTTCATTCGGCGGCCAGGACCTTCCGTGGTTCCGCATCTCAGATGATCGTCTCCTTGTGACACCGGCCACTCCCAGGCCAACCTTCTACAACGACATGAGTCCGCGGGAGGCAGAAAGTGCTGTCCAAACATTAAGGCCACACAGTTATCAGACATTCCACAGCAAATTATCCTACGAGGCGTGGAGACATGTGCCGTCCACGTACCTCTACTGCCTCCAGGACGAGGCGATCCCACTCCCAGTGCAGAGGATGATGGTGGAGGAGATAGCGAAAGGGGTCAACATTCATACCCATGTTGTGGATGCATCGCACAGTCCTTTCTATACGGCACCGGCGGAGGTGGCAGATGCCATTGGAAAGGCCGCCAGCCGATCTGCGGAACTGATTACGGAGGGGAAACTGTAATCTATGTATTGTCGAAACGTACTTGGATAGGTCCTAAATAAAGGGCTTGAACTTTAGCAGGTTACATGAATAGTATGAATATATTCTTAATTTTTTACTTTGACAAGAAAACATATTATTGGTGTGTAGCTGGATGCGCAGGCCGACGTTAGTGCGGATGCGGATGCGGATGCGGAAACGGCATAAAATCAAATGGGATAACATTTGTCAGCAAGCTGATCGGTCATTTCCTGGCTCCTTTTCGACGTGTTTCCGGCGCTTGTTGCGAAATGCCAGGGATTCTTCCTTGCCACACTAGTCTCTTTGCTCTCTGGCAACACCATTAACCTCATATCACTGTTACTCCAGCGTAGTAGATAATTCAACAGGGTTATGGCGGACACACAAGAACAGGCCAGAGCTGCGTCTGTTTGTCTGACCTGCAAGTTGGGTAAAAGGCAATGTGATAAGAGACTTCCTATCTGTTCTCGATGCAACAAGTACGTTGTGCTACCAACCATCATGTAACACCGGGGATCAATCCTACCCGCCAATGAATACTCACTAATTATCGCGTATTGAACAGACTTGGTAGGCCATGTGAATATCCACCCAGTCCGCCAGTGGTGACCGCGGCTCAACCGACGGAGTCGGGGCCATCAATGACTAGGTTGTCGCCCATGGCGTGTATACGATGTAGGGCAAACAAACGTAGATGTGATCGCGCCATTCCGGAGTGCTCCCGGTGCCGGAGGTACGAGAAATGCTTGCCACCACGCGGATGCTTGCTTAATTATTACCATTAGAGTCGTCGCCAGTTGTGTCTACCCACCGTCTCGGCCGCAGTCCCCCGCCTTTGCGGACACCGATGACTTTGGGCCAGACATGGAGTCCGCTTCACTACGTGTGCCGACAGAGATGGAGGCTGCGATGGACACCCCCATTGGATATCGGTCATACATGTCACCACTTCTAGAATTCTGTTAGTCCCCTATCTACAGGGTGTTTCTCTGGCGGTATTTGCTAACTGCTCTCTCACCCCGGGGAAGTCCTCACCTCAATAGCTTTACCCTCAGATACCATAGGGACTAACAGCCTTTCTCACCACCTCCGTTCGGAATGGATGAAGCATGCTATGATGGACCCCTGTTTGTTCCACGCCACCCTGTTTAGCGCATCAGCATCGATTGATATCCTGCGCTGTCAGCAAAACACTGCGGTAACCCTGTATCACCAGACCTGGGCTATACGCTTGCTTAACGAGCGGTTGGCACAGCCAGAACCGGTCCTGACCTATGGAACACTGGGAGCAGTGATACCGTTACTATACTATAATGTTCGTGCCGTCCATGTTTCCCCCAGCGTTCAGAGTAGACTGTTCTGAAGGATTATTCCAGATGGTCGCACTTGACCACGACTCCGCTGTCGCTCATCAGAGGGGTCTAGTAAAAATGCTCCTTGCCACGCCCAAATCCTTCCGCAACAACATTGGGCCACTCATAGCCATCGTGAAGATGTACGTGGCCATTACCCGCAGACTGTGGCTTGTGACTAAGATGTTAGTGCTATGCTGTCATTTGCATGTATCTACGACATGCAACCTATTTGGGACTGTCTGTACTCTGAGTCTGTTCGCTCCTCTAGCCTGCTTCGAAATCTAGTGTCAAGAGCGGCTTTGGGGAACGGCGGATCTCTGTTCCAAAAACAGACTATGGATGGGATTTTGGATGTTTACGAAGCCGTCTCACGCCTCGATCAGTTCTTCCACGCCGACCGCAGCAGTACCTCCAGCATAGAATGTGAGTGGGCGCATATTCTGGCAAGATCTAGTCCAACGACTCCCTGGACCGAGCGCCATAACTATCTTACTTCATCTGAAAAACTCAATGCATGCTGCCACCTCTGTTGTTCCATATTCTGGACAACCCTGCGACGACGGCAATTGCACAACGAGCAAGCCCCAGGCCCTACGGACCAGGATCAGCTCAATCAGGTGCTCCTAAACTATATTCTGCAGGTCGAACCACTATACTGGATTCAGAATGCTCCCGAGGCATTCACCTGGGTTGCATTTACAGGCGCTGCTGCGTCCACTCAACCAGGTCTGCGAGCCAACTTCATCAACCACGCGGCAACTGTAATCACGGCCATCGACGGCGAGGACTTGACTCTGATACGACAGGGGTGGAGGTATTTTGGACTGATCAAAAGGCTCGGAGGAGCATGAAAGGTGAGCAACATATCCGCATGACTGCTAGTATATCTCTCGAATAGTTTGCGACTATTCATCGACCTTCACATGTGATAGCGCATTAACGGTCCACTCCCAGAGTTCCTCCGCCATTTTCGCATCTGATCCCGCCTTACTGGGAGCCGACAGTCTTCCGATCGGAAGCAGGTACGCCCCATTATGGCATTCGAGCTTCAACTGCGGCGATACAGCCGCGAAGAGAATGCTGGCTGCTCCTTTGCGTGGACCTGGCGCACCCAGCTCGACCAGCGGCTTTATCAATCTATAGAGCGGGGTAGATGAAATCGGGCCTGCAGCCAGGCCTCTGGTATGATGTTAGGAATATCAGAGGTGTATGAGTGGAACCCGGGGAGAAAAGCACCTACGTCTTAACGGTTCCGGGGTGCACTGAGAGTGCTAGGATGTCCGGATACCTCTTGGCCAGCTCCCTGCTGTGTAGGACATTGGCAAGCTTTGAATGGCCATATCGAGCCCAGACTGAGAAGGCTTTCATATTCATATCGGAGAAGATAATACCTTCCTTCGGGGCGAGTTTGGCATGTCCGTCACTAGACACATTTACGATGCGCACGCTTCCCTTGTCGGCTGCCTCGGCTGCTGTCTGCTGCAGGGTTGGGAGAAGTAAACTGGTAAATAGGAAATGGCCAATGTAGTTGACCTACATGAGCTTATCATTAGCGTCAAGGATTTTCTGTTTCTATGCTTCTTTCCGTTTTGTTATAGACAACGGCGATGAAAGTAGAACTGTTTTATATGATGGTGGCGAGAAGAAGGTACACTCACAGCTAGCTGCATCTCAAAACCATCTCGTGTTTCGTCGTACGGAACACACATAATCTAGTTGAAGTGAGCTGAGAACTCTTTTACGAGAGGTTCAGTCAGGCCAGGGTCACCAACACCGGCATTGTTCACCAGCAAATGTAGCCTCGACTCCTGCCTACATCACCAGGTCCGGTGTATCAGTCGTGAGCACCGCAAACGATTGGGCAATGAAAGAATAAGTGGGATTAAAGAAAACATCAATAACAGAGAAACCGAAGACACACCGAATGAATTGCTCAGCTGCATGACGAACGCTACTCATGCTGGACAGGTCGAGATTGAGAAACCTCACGTCTACTTCACGCTCCGAGCATTCCGCGATGATGTCCCGCCTGGCATGCTCGAACCGTGTTTGGGATCGACTGGCAATATACACCCGGGCGCCATGTCTTGCGAGTTCGATACTTGTGCCAAAACCACTGGCGGAGGAGAGAGTTAGTAAGGGTACGAGGGAACTACTACCAGTCCGTTCGATGACAAGAACAAGAGGAAAGCCGAAAAGTAGCAAATGATTATTATTGGAACCAACAGAGTCCACGTACAGTCCTGTGTGCCCGCCAATGACGATGACGACTTTACCGGTCAGCTCGGGGATGGCGATGGCGGAAAGGAGGTCTTTGCCCATCGCGAGGTCTTTTTGGCAGAGTCAATGATAGCGGAAGGGGAACCTTCAGTATCCCATAGGGGGTGTAGACATGTACAGTAACGCTTATATACTTCAAACCTACTGTCTTCTTATAGAAGCTCCTGCTACTACACACCAGGCAGTGGCTGGCTGGTTTGGGCTGGACGTGCGGGCGCATCTGCGGCCGCACCCGCAGCCGTAACTGCAGCATCCACAACACCGATTTTTTGGTTCAGCTGGATGGAATCCTCTCGCAGGAGACGACCAGTGCTGATGTACGGAAAGCTTAGACGCATCACCCTATACGGTTGTCGCTTCGAGAGTATCGGTCAACCGAAGGACAACGCACTACTGATATGCCAAGTAGACAAAACAGAGAAAGAAGAATAAGAATAATCAAAGAGATACAAATTTAAACCTAAGAACAAGGAGCATGAAGAAGAACTAGATAGCAGCCTACGGCTTCAGCACAACCTGTCCCCCCCAGCCACTCAGCTTTCCTGCCGCATCCAATGCGCGCTCAATCTCATCCAACCCAAATTCCTCGGTGTGAGTGACGCCCCCCTTCTCGCCCAGCGGAAGCAATCCAGACCGCACCATCTGAATCAGCCGGAACACATGCGGACGATCATACATGAACCGTCCCTGGATGCGAATGCCCTTGAACATGATCTCCCCGTACGGCAGCTGAATATTCCCCAAATGGCCGCCCATGAGGACACACCGACCGAACGAACCCAGGGCGCGAATGCCGGCAACTAATAAGGACGAGTCCTTGATGGTCGGGGGCGAAAGGTCCAGGTACACATTGGCACCGTCGGGGTGGCCGACGGCTGTCTGGAAGGACTGGGTATCGCTGGCCTCGTCGCCAGTGATTTGCACGGTTGTAAGTCGTTGCGTGCCGTGGATGTGTTCGAGCTTGTCCAAAGCTGCCCTGTTGCGCCCGGCCGCGATGACGGTGGCCCCCATGGCCAGGGCTGCACCCACCGCGCCACCGCCAAAACGCCCCGTAGCCGGGGCCACGATCACCACCTCCCCCGGTTTCACGTCCACCTCGGCGAGCCCGCCAAAAGGTACCAGGTATGCGGTCAGAAGGCAGAGGTCGGTGATGCTGTATCCCAATCGCCCCAAGAGAACTTCCTCGTCCAGCGGATACAAGTTCTCCAGGGGGAACCGCGTGTATTCGGCGTACGTTCCATTGCGCCAGACTCCATCCATGAGTTTCTGCGCCGCCGGGTGGATTGCCCCGTGAATCCCATAGAGCATGGTCACGGCGGGGTTATCGCGCGCGCGGATGGTAATGTCGCAGAAGACGAGCTGACCCGGCGTGAGGGTGACACAGTCGGGTCCAACTTCATGGATGCGCGCGATGGCCGTGTTCCCGGGGGTCATGGGGATGGATAGCGGGTAAGGGCGTCGGTTGGTGATGACCTCCCTCATGTAGGGGACAATATCAGCAGCCAGGATGCGGACAATGGCATCACCAGTCGATGCTACGGGGCGAGGGACATTTTCCACAACGAGCGGCTTGTCCCGGGCATGAATCACCGCGGCTTTGTGGGTTGACATCTTGTCGATTCACTCGTCTGGGATGATTGCTGGTGGTCCCTGATGTGTAGAGCATTCTGATGCCCGTCCTTTGCCCTTCATATAAGATAGACAGGTCCATGGTAGGCGAGGACCTTATATCCGCAAACTCCGACCAACCCCCACCAACTAAGTCTGGTACACTACTGTCTACTGCGGAGTACTGTGACTTCATCCGTCACAGTTGTGACGAAAGTGGACACTTCTAACAACCAATCAATGTCAAGTATATCCCTGGACGGTGGGTTTTAAATTAACCTTAGCACCTCTGCAACTGCTTGGGCGGCTCTGGATACATGGAGACGGTGATAAACTCACACCTTTCCGCCGTAACTCCGAGCCCCTTTACCAACTAGCCTCGTATCTCATGAATCCGTGGGCATTGTACGACCTGCAATGCCGCACACCGCACCCGCACCCGCACTCGCATCGAAATAATTGGCCAGATGGTCGAGTGGTGACCTTTCCGCCGGCTTTAAAGACAAACAAGATAGTATTTCTCCACCCATCTCTAAATACACCGTGTAGTCTGCTGGGGACACCCCGAGCTGAGGTGTTCAGCAGTGCCTAGCTAAAACGAATAATCCGTAGAGTACGCAATGGAATCAGAGATTTGTAAGTTGTAGTTGGTTTCTGCTAGATTCTAGATACAAGAAGCAAGCAAGAAACGAAACGAGGATAAAGGGTCGGACGAAAGGCGTCAAGCATTGCTTCCCAGGAAGGAAGGTGCCTGCAGCATGGTCAACTCAATTCTGCAGCTACTGGTAACTAGACGAGGGTCATGTTGGAGAAGTAGATTTTCCCTAGTCATATTCAGTACATGGAGGGGAAATAGAGACAATAAGTATAGTCCCTATAATCTCTTTGTTATAATTGTCCGCCTTCCTGTTGCCATATACAGCTTCTAAGAATTATAATATACTTTAATCCGATAACTTCAATACAACCCTGAAATATGTATAGAGGGGTGATTACAATCTCTAATTCTGATACTGTTGGGAAACATCTGTCATTTTCTCTCATCAATTCTTTATATCGTACCTCTCGGGTTTAGAAAATAGACACCCAAAATATATTTCGCGTTCAGTGACGTAGCTGACAAGTTCGGCAGCTAGTACAGACTCTAGCAGGGTCTACTGTGATTAGATTAGAGAGTAAATGTACCCATATACACTTGCACAAATGCGCACGATTAATGAAGGCTGTCTGACCGCATAAGCAATTATATGTTAGTCAGTACATCCCCAAGTTGTGGACATGCTGAATTCCGTGATTCCAAAGCATATGCCCGAACCAGAATATAACATCGATCTCTTTGAATCTGGCATTCTATACTACCTCCCATGCTCAAACCAATAGATGGTAGACATCTTCATCCCATCACATCGACAGCCTTCAGACCCAGACTACCGCGTTCCAGTCGTGCCATCAGTCCCTCATACACGTCCGTGTCTTTGTAAGCTTTAGCCAGGCTGTTGGCGACATCACCCATCTCCTGCTCAACTTGCGATCGCAAAGATCTAGAATTCTTCTCCAAAACGACATCTTGGCCACCTGCAGAGGGCCGCACAGCATTTGTACTGAAGGTTACCGCATCGAGCACCTCGCGGGCAGGCACCTTGCCTTGAACGTCGGCAGTGCCTTGGATGACTGGGTGGTGCACTTCTCGTTAGCCTGCTCTCGCGTGCGCACCAGCTATCTCAAGCTTACCTGGTCTGATCACCGCAAAGGCATCATCGAACCCATCTTGCCCTTCGCTGTTTAAGACGGGACTGTCTCGTGCGCGTATCTGCTTGGTCGCTCCGAGCACCACGAGAAGGAAACGTCCGTATCTGTTTGCAACGCCTTGGGAATGCCACTGCCAGGCCGTGTGTTCGGGACAGTCACCCCGGATAGAGGCGGCAATGGATACCGCCGCAGACAACCCCCCCGAGACTGCCAAATGCACGCCAGATGAAAAGTACGGGTCGATAAAGGCTCCGGCGTCACCGACAATGCGGAGGTACGGGCTGCCGTACGATGACGCATTGTAGGACCAGTCGGACGCCTGTTTGATTTCCCCGTCGAGGTTTGCGGGCTGCAGCAATTGCGAAATTACGCGTGCACCATCCACAGACTCAAGGTAGAAAGCCCGGCTGGATGTCACGGTTGATGACTTCTTTTTCTGCGTGGCGAGTCCTTGGTTCATGACGACGCCGACGGATGTGGTCCCGTTGTGGAGCGGAATGAACCAGACCCAGCCGCTACCGTCTGACAGCGAGGTTAGAAGAAACGGGAGGACATGAAACGGGGATACATACCTTGGAGGGCTTCAAAATATGGCTGGCCTTCTACCGAGGTGCCGACACCGTATGGTGTTGCTCCGCGCCAGTAACCCCAGCTGGCGACATTCTTCAAGTAGCTGTTGTAGGTCCGAGATTTCAAGTACTTGGTGCTGGCGATGCCGGCTCGTCCGCTCGCATCGACCAAATAATCAAAGCTGATGGACCCCGTGCGGCCATCTTTAGCCTTCCAGCTGGCAGATACCGGTCTCCCGGGGTGGTCGTCGGTCGCGGACTCATCGAGTGGATCAAACTCAATGGCCGTCACTTTGACACCGTCGAAAGCCCTGGCTCCGGACTTGCATGCATGCTTGAACATGAGGTCGTCACATTCGGAGCGCACAACGTTCCAGGCGAAGGTATCCGCCCCAGGTTGTAGGATGAAATCGGTGTCTGCGAGTGATCCGTGAGACGCATTCTGTCAAGGAGAAGGGAGGCCTTACAGGCTTCCTTTTGGTTATTGAGCTTGAACGCTGCACCATTCTGGACACGATTAGGCGGATGCGGATGAATCAAGTGAGCAATTTGGGGCATACTTTGCGGACGAAGCCATAGTTCACGAACGTCTCGTCAAGGTCAATGAACCTGAGAAACGGCCGCATCGAGGCAACAAGGCTCTCACCGATATGGTAGCTTGGCACAGCAACGTGAGCTTCCGTCAACGGGATACCGACGAGGATACTCCTACCGAGGGAATATATCTGCCTCCAGCAAAACAGTGTCAATGCCTTCACGAGCCAGGGCTGAAGCCGTGTAGGAACCACCGGGGCCACCGCCGATTACTAAAACAGTAGCATTTTGAGGGATCTCCATGGTTAGCGCGGATTGTTGTTGTAGATCAACGGGGGGATAACTTAAAACTCAATGGGGCACAAAGTTTGTCGACCGTAGGTCAAATAAATAATCAATCAGTGCGTGGTGCTAAAGATTGGTGACAAATTGGCTAGAGTCCATACAAATACTAATGACGTGTAAGGATGAGCACCTGACGTGTAACCAGCGTTGTGCATCTCTAAACGATGGCGGGCAGTGTTGTCGACCAGGAAAGGGCAGAAGTGAAGAAGCAAAACGAATTATGGATCTGAGTTGTGAGACAGGGGTCCTGTGTCTACGTCTCACTGACAAATAGCACCAGTGGCCGGTGAGGATTCCAGATGCTGAGGGAAATGGCCATGGCCCGCTGAGCGTTTTGCTTTTTTTAGCCGTCTCGATAGTTCGTGTGGCCACCTCGACCCAGGCCAGTCCGCATCTTGGTCGAGGTTGTACGAACTCGAGCTACGCATTTAGTTTCAACCAGCGGGTATCTCCGCAGTCCGGGTTATTTGTGACCAAGGCCTGCATTGACTAAGACCAGGGCTTGATGTTGCAGTATGCCCACCCATGACGAGACTACAACTGGCGACTCTTACACTACCAAGAGATCGGAGCCACGACGATCATCAAATCATCAGCTAGGATCAAAAAGAAAATTGGGTCCAGTACACAACATGATAATCAGCCTGTAATGATAGAAGTCTGTGTTTTATGTGAAGCAAAAGGCCACATATGTGGAAAAGAAAGTCGCAAGGAATCATAAGGTTTTGCATCTACCTGAGCACATCCTGGGCCAGGAGCCCCAATGTTTGCAGATGCGCGCCATGTGACATTATCGACATACAGTTAGAGATGCGTATGTGATGATACAACTCCTGCTTCATATCCACCAGTTCCTTGTGCATGTTCGCGATCTCCTGTTCCAGGGCCTTGCGTCGCCGCTCTTCCTCCTGCTGCTCCGCTTGGAGCAAATTGATCAGGTCTGCCTGCTTCTGCCGCGATCGGCCCGCAGCCAACCGGTTGCGTTCCTTGTATTTCTCATGGTACTTCTTGCGCAACTGCTTCACTTCCTCGCTGCGGTCCATCGATCCAGGGCTCGTTGCTCCTGGCGAAGGCGATTTCGCCGACGACAGCCCTGGCCTCGATGGCGGAGTACTGAATGCTGGGCGTGATCTGGATGCCCTCGTGATTCCAGGCATTGGAACTACCGCATCCAAGGGGGGCGACATCATCCCAGCCAGCTCGACCGACGATAAGATACCCCCTGAATCGTCGAGAAAGGCGAGGTCGGCCGTCTCTTTACCAAAGTCCACATGCTTGGCCACAGTCGGCGAGCCTAGAAGGTCCTCGAGCTGCTCAAATTGAGACAAATTGGCGTCGTCGTTAGAGCCATTGGCGTCGCCGGCGCTATACCTACAAACTTGTTCAATCATAATTCACTTGTGTAGAAACGAGCCATGGCATACCCTAACATGTAATTTCCCGAGATTATATCTGACCCTGACGGGCTACCTGTACCTAGCACAGGAAGATGATGTGAAGCTTGTAAAAGCTCAGACGCAATTTCGAAGCCATCCATGGCAACCGAGGTGTCGAGTCAGAGATCCTGCACGTTGAGTGTGAGAGCCCCCTTAAGGAATGTGGTCTGCGAGGAGGTCCTCCTTTTTGAAGAGGTCGCAGCAAGCACGTCCATCCTGCTAATACACCCTTCATTGCAATTGGAGTAGCTAAACTGCCCAGGGTCTGAGACAGCAAGGATGATATTCGGAATTGGTACTACCAATAGCCGTGCCAATGCGTTCACGCTAGTAGACTGCCGCTAAAGCGTGCTTATGGGCTTCTGAGGGGTAGGGACATGCACAACTGGGGCCCGGGCCAACCAGAGGGCTGATGCAGTTGCTCCGCACGAAGAGATCTAAGGCCAGCGTCCTTGAGCCGGACTGCCTCCATTGCATTATTAGGGATCGACCGTATTTTGGCCACAGCCAATACATGGGAAAGGGAATTCCCCAGTTTCTCGACTGGCTGCTGCTGGGGGATTATTAGCCCACCCTTGTTCGGCCGGGGCAAAGCTGTGGTAGGGCGGACGCTAAAACAAGCAACCCAGTGAATCTGGTGGGACGGAGGATGAACTAACGCAATCACATCGCGATGGAAGGAGGAGACAAGATTACGGCAACGCTAGTGCTTGAGCTTCGATAACATGGTTGAATCAATCCTATACTCCGAACTCCGGTAAAAGAAAGCCGTTCTCAGCCCATTCATTGTTCTGAGCCAATCTAAGCCATTGCTTTTTCTTGCCTTGCCTTGCCTTTGATTTGCATTTCTCTTGTTCTTGCATATCTCGTCAGCTTCCTCATGACGAAGCAATCTGCTATCTGGCTAATTATCTGGCTTACCATGTGCGCGACCACTTCTACACGTCATCCGAAATGGACGACTTGTGGTCCCATGAACCACGCGACAACGCCGAACAACGGGATATTTAGGGATAAGTGTACGTCTGCTGGAGTTGTGAGGGTGATCAGCCACCAGCGCATAACCCCTTCTCATCATTGTTCTCTTATTATTAGTATTATCATTGTTATTCGTGTTTCGCCATGTCCATCGATTCACTGTTACACACAAGCTTGGCCGTCGGGGCAGTCTATCTAGCCAGCGTCGCGCTGTATGAGCTGTATTGGTCCCCGTTGGCCCATATCCCTGGTCCCAAGTTGGCGGCTTGCACGCGCCTTTATGAGTTTTTCTATGATGTAGTTTGTGGTGGCCAGTACACCTTCAAGATTGCCGATCTGCATAAGCAATATGGTGGGAATGACATGAACCAGCCCGACTACCAGACTCAATAGCCCCAGTTGTGCTGATATAAGGCAGGCCCCATCATTCGCATTAGTCCCCGTGAAATTCACATCCACGACCCCAACTATTATGAGACGCTCTATGCAACCAACAGTCCCCGAAACAAGGACCCCTGGTTCACCGCGCACTTTGGCGTGGATGAATCGGCCTTCTCTACCCTGGATTATCGGCTGCACCGATCGCGGCGCGCCATGATCGCCCCATTCTTTGCCAAAGCTCGCATGGACGGGGCTCAGCCTTTGATTAAGGCCAATCTCGCCAAGCTAATCCGCCACTTGGATGCCCATGCAAGTTCCCAGTCAGTCCTCAAGGTCGAGGTCGCGTACAATTCCTTCACGGGTGATGTCATCACCGGGTACAGCAGCTACCGATCGTTCGAATATCTGGAGACAACCGACATGGTTCCCATCTGGAGTGAAACCGTCCGCAACTTGGTCGAGAGTGGGATGCTGTCGCGTCATCTGCCTGGATTCTTTCCCCTCCTGGCATGGGCTGGTTCGCGGTGTATCGCGGCCGTATATCCGAAGTTGCTGCCAGTCATAGCATTTCGGATGAAATGCGCCCAGGAGGTGAACTTCATGTGGACCAATTCTGAGGAAGGCAAAAAGGAGGCCATTCAGTCGGGATGTTCGGAGCCAGCTCTGTTCCTAGAGTTGGTGAGTCGGGCTTCCTCCACTCCGGATATCACAGAGGAGCGCTTGTTGCATGAATTTATCACCATCGTCGCCGCGGGAACGGAGACTACCGCCCATACTATGACAGTCTGCACATTTCACATTGCCCACAATCAATCTATCTTAGACAAACTGCGCGAGGAGCTGGATAACAGATTTCACAGCAATGCCGACATGGATCTTCAGACTCTTGAGCAACTCCCATACTTGGTGAGAATCCCTATTTATCCAACGCGTCACACAAGAGTGATACTTACTGACAATGCCGCCAGACGGGGATCATCTATGAAGGGCTACGGTGCGTATGTCCTTAATTGGCCTGATTAGTCTGACTTATTTACGCAGACTCTCTTATGGGCTATCGCATCGACTTCAGCGAATCAGTCCCATCGATCCACTCAAGTACAAAGATATTGCCATCCCCCCTAATGTCGGTATCTCCCCTTCCGACACAGCACCCATAGGCTGACTGCTGAAGACCCCTGTTGGCATGTCCTCTGCGTTAATGCATCATGACGAAAGCATTTTCCCGCAGTCGCACGAATTCATCCCAGAACGATGGATCGATCCGAACGACCGAAGGAGACTGAATAAATACATGGTATCGTTTAGCAAGGGATCACGCCAGTGTATTGGCATGAAGTTAGTATTCTCGTGATGGAATGTCCGAAGTTCACCAAACTAATTGCCCATTCCATAGTCTGGCTTTTGCAGAGCTCTATCTAGGCATAGCGACGCTGTTCCGCCGGTACGACATGAAACTCCACGATACGACTGTGGATGATGTCCAGCTACATGGTGACAAGATGCTGCCTCGCGCCAAAAATGGCAGCAAAGGGGTTCGGGTGACCTTACAACGCGCTCAAAGCATTGGTTAGGTTATGGAATGATGAGATTGTTGCACTGGGGTCCAGCCGCGAGGTTCGTAGAATGTGCAGGTGAACAGTTGCTAGATAAACACAGAGTCCTTGCCAATATGATCATGGAATTACGACCGTAACAGTTCCTTTGTAGCAGTTAATTATTTGTTACGGCTCTGTGGTCCTGCACAAGGGGGATTGATCCTCAGTCCATTTTCTGGGTGTACGTGCAATGTCCATGAGGCAGTACTCATTCGGGACGATAACCCGACCAAGGTCCGTATCAACTCCAAGTCGGTATTTTCAACTCAGACAGGGAGTGTGCTGCTCAATCACGATAAAGGGCCGGGTTATCACTTTAGCAGTTTATTTGTCAGGCGCCATGCGCCACATGGTTTATGACGTGTAACCCCGATGGATGAGGTGTAGAAGTGGCATATGCGGTCATGAGCATTTTCCAGGTCAATCATACTTATAGTCGTCGCTGGCTGTGGCCATCCAAGGACATCCAAAAACAAGTCTCGCTTTTCTTCCGGAAATGGATTTGAGAACTGGCTATATGTTCCCTTGTCTTACTGATGGACAGTTCGTTGAGGACGATACGCTCCAGTCGGTTGCGCTCGGTATAGACAGCCCGATCTCACTAAGCAATGGACCTGACGGCGAATGGGCCCGGGAGCTATCACTCGCGTGGGCCATTCTTCTATTCACTTACAATGAACAAGAGGCTGTTGAGTTTGCCTGTCTACGCAACGAGCATTGGTTCTGCGTTGACGCAAAAATCAGCCGCGACCTCTCCTGGAAAGACATTGAATTCCACGAAGGTGGGACCTCGGATGGACGGCAGGTCAATACGGGCATCTGTCTCTCACAGGGGGGAGCGACACCTATTCCCACAGTAAGTATCCATGATGATGTTCTCGGGTTGAGGTAGCTAATCACAGTAGCGTCTTCAACTGGTGCTGGTCGGTAGTATTTTTGGGGGAGGCTTGTCTCTGGGATACCGGCCAAATCTGCTCAGCGCTGAACAGGCAGCCAACGTTGCCAGTACCTTAGAGACCATAATGCGGGCTCTGCAAGGGCGCACAGTCTCCATTGGCTCCATCGATGTTCTCAGTGAGCGCAATATTACCGACCTCAACCGCTTCGCTGTCGCCCGACGTGCGCTACCAGAAGGTTGTCTGGACGATATAATCACAGCACAAGCCGTTGAACGCGGCAACAGCATAGCCATTGATTCCTGGGATGGCACATTGTCATATCAGGAGCTAGATACTCTTTCGACACTTCTAGCCAAGTACCTCCGCTCCTTGGGTCTCTCAGGCACGTATGTTCCTCTTTGTGCGGACAAGTCCGCCTGGGCGGTGGTAGCTATGTTGGCCATTCTCAAGGCGGGCGCTGCATGTTCTCCGTTAGATCCGTCTCATCCCCAAAGTCGCTTACAGTCGATGGTGCAGCGCTGCGATGCAAAGGCTGTCATAGCGACCGAGCGACACGCTTCGCTGCTCCAAATGGATGGAGTGGAGGTCGTGGTCGTCGGCCCCGACATGTCCTCCTTTCTACAGCACCAGATCTCTCCAGCAGAGGCCCCAGGCCCATCTCATAGAGACGTTGCATTTCTAATGTGGACGTCAGGAAGTACCGGGGCACCCAAGGGAGTCATTCTAGGGCACACAGCACTGTTCATGAGCATCAGCGCATACGCAGCGGCAAACCAGTTCTCCGCTGAAACCCGGTGCTTCCAATTTACCTCTTTCACCTTTGCCGTTAGTCTTTGCGACATTTTTGGCACGCTGAGCCAGGGAGGTTGTCTGTGTATGCCATCCGAGACCCAGCGACTCACTGATTTGACGGGGGCACTGCGGGAGCTCCACGCCACGTTCTGCTGGCTCACCTCAACCTCGCTGGCGGGCCTGAACCCACACGATTTGCCAGACCTGCGCAGTGTCACTGTCGGGGGCGAAAGCCTCTCTCGGGAGTTGGTTGCTCGATGGGCCACGCATCTTCGGTTAACGGTCTCGTATGGCACAACAGAGACCGCTGGCTGGTGTCTGCTCAATACCGGATTGTCTCCGACGGGTGATGCCCGAACTCTGGGCAGACCGACCATCCCCGGTGTGTGGATTGCCCATCCGGACAATGTCAATCGCCTGGTGCCCGTGGGTGCGGTGGGAGAGCTACTAGTGGAAGGGCCGTTCCTGGCGCAAGGCTATTTGGACGATGAAGAGCGCACGGCAGCTCATTTCATACCGCCTCCAAGCTGGATGACCCAATTTCGTCCGCAGGAAGTCACCCGACTATACCGCACCAATGACCTGGTGCGCTACAACTCCGATGGCTCTGTGAGTTTTGTTGGACGACGACAGGCCCATGCCAAAATTCGCGGCAATCGGATCAGTCTGCCCGAGATTGAGGCACAGGTACGCCACTCCTGCAAAGATGCGCAGGCAGTGGTGGAACTGGTGACTACCAAGGATCAGGTCGAGATGTTGACGGCATTTCTGGTCGTGTCTGGGCAGGAGTCCCTCTCAGAGGCCCCCTTGATCTGCCCACCCAACGACTGCTTTCGAGAGACAGTTACGCATTCTCTCTCTGTGCTTGAACAATCATTACCCAGCTACATGGTCCCAACTGTATTTGTTCCTCTCTCCCACATTCCGCTAACCAGAACGAATAAAGCCGATAGACATGTGCTCCGCAAACTGGCAGAGGCCATGAGCAGAGCAGATTTGGTGCAGCTTATGACAAAACCTCGACCTGTCGAGCAACTCCCCTTATCACCTCTAGAGCGGCAGATGCAAGGGCTGTGGGCAGAGCTTACCAATATTCCGGCAGAGAGCATCGGACCAGACGACAACTTCTTCCATCTCGGCGGGGACTCCGTCCTCGCCATCCACCTTGTACCCTTGGCCCGTCGACATGGACTCTCCCTGACCGTACAGGATGTGTTTCGTTACCCGAAACTGAAAGAGTTAGGGGCACATCTTGAACAGGAAGCATCACAAGGATCCCAGCGTTGGAGATCCCAGCCTACCGCATCTTTCGATCCTACTCCATGGAAGTCGGTAGCAGCACAGCAATGTGGGATAGACGAGTTGGCCATCGAGGATGTGTATCCATGTACAGCGTTGCAAGAAGGTCTGATGGCACTGTCGGCACAGCGAACGGGTGCCTATATCCTCAGCATGGCGCACAACCTCTCTCCTACGGTGGATTTGGGTCGCCTATTGGAGGCCTGGCAGACGGTAGTGAAAGCCGTACCAATCCTCCGAACACGCATCGTACGCCTGACCAACGAGGGCTTCCACCAGGCCGTGGTAGACGAGCCAATCGAATGGCAGTCCGTCAAGAGTGAAGCTGAGTTCCACAGAATGAACCAGCTCAATCCCCTAGGTTTGGGCACTCGACTACTCCGCTTCGCGCTGTTGCTATCAGCAGCCGATCAGCCCTCTCGCCTGCTGCTCGCAATGCATCACTCGGTTTTCGACCGCTGGTCAGGCCCCTTGCTAGTGCGAGCAGTTGAGGACGCCTATCAGGGACAGCGAGTCATGCCTCAGTACTTCAAAGACTTTGTATCTTACGTCTCCACCTGTCCCAGGGAGGAGGTTGACGCGTTCTGGCGACACCAGCTCTCCGATGCCGATCCGACGGTTTTTCCTCCCACTCCTGAACCCAACTATCTCCCCAGTCCGACCGAGTCGAGTGAGCGGATCATCCTGCTCCCTTTGAGCCGGAGTCATGTCACAATTACCACGAAACTGCGCCTTTGCTGGGCACTCGTCCTATCCCAGCATACGGGGAACGCTGATGTCGTGTTTGGTGCCGTATCCACCGGTCGTAGCGCACCAGTCGAGGGCATCGAGAGCCTGATCGGTCCCACTTTGGCGACGGTGCCATTCAGGCTCCGCATCGACGGCTCTGCTATGGTGTCAGATGCTCTTCAAGCCTTGCAGGACGAGGCCGCAACGATGCTTCCCTACGAGCAACGAGGCCTTCAGAATATCGCACGCATCAGCCGCGAAACCAGAGCCGCCTGCAACTTTCAGAATCTCTTAATTGTACACGCGCCCGATTCAAGAGGTCAGTCTACCATACTGAAAATAACGGATGATCAGCAACTACCCGACCTCTTCTCATATGGCTTGACGCTATCCTGTGAAGTCCTGGATCAAGATCGGATCCAGTGCCAGGCATTTTTTGACCCGAACATGCTCGAGCACGCTTACGTGAAAGTCCTGCTCGACCAGCTCGCTCATGCCGTCCATCAGATACATGCAGTTCCAGATTGTAAAGTCGGCGAGATTTCGCTCCTCAGCCCGCAGGATCAACAGCAGTTGCAAGAGTGGAATCCTCCAATCCCGCGGGCCGGGCTCACCATTCATGAGACTATCCAGAGGCAATGCCTGGCTCACCCCCAAAAAGAGGCTGTATGCTCGTGGGATGGATCGATAACCTATAGCGCCCTTAATGAATTGTCATCGAGCCTGGCGTCTCAGATACTGCAACGCTGTAGCCAACCTACCTCGTTCGTACCCTTGCTCATGGAGAGGTCTAAGTGGACGGCAGTAACCATGCTGGCTGTAATGAAGGCCGGAGGGGCATTTGTCCTCCTGGATGCCTCATTCCCTGTGGAGCGGTTGCAGTCGATTTGCTGTCAGCTCGATGCGACTCTTATACTTTCTTCAAGCAAACACGCCGATGTGGCACAACGCTTGGTATCGAATCCCCTCATTGTTGATGCCATCATCGACTTGCCTGGTCCATCACTAGCGCTGCCTGTGGTACATCCAGACGCTACTCTGTACGCTGTGTTCACCTCCGGATCGACTGGCAGGCCGAAGGCCGTCCTTATCAGCCACGCCTCGTACGGCAGTGGTGCAGAGGCACACATACCAGCCGCCTTAATTACCCCCGCAACGCGGGTGCTGCAATTTGCCTCGTATGCCTTCGATGCCAGCATCATTGAACATTTGAGCACATTTATGGCGGGTGGCTGTGTATGTGTTCTCTCTGACCCGGAGAGAACCTCATCTCTCGCGGAGGCTGTCGCGGCACGACGGGCCAACTTCGCCTGGTTAACTCCCAGCGTGACCCGGTTCATTGACCCGCAGGATTTTCCCACTATGGATCGTCTGTGTCTAATGGGGGAGTCCATGCGCCGCAGTGAGATTGAGAGATGGTCATCGCGGGTGAATCTGATGCAGGCATACGGACCAGCGGAATGTTCTGTCCTGGCGACGCTACGACCCAGCCTGACTACACAATCAGATCCCCGTAACATTGGTTGTGCGCGGGGCTGTCACGCCTGGATCGTAGATCCAGAGAGCCATACGCGACTCCTCCCGATTGGGGCGGTGGGAGAGTTGATGATTGAGGGTCCTATAGTGGGACAGGGATATCATGGCAGTCCGGAACAGACCCAGGCAGCATTTCCACCGGTACCAGATTGGTTGAGTGACTACCACGATGGTGACCTGTCCCAAGTGAGGGTCTACAAGACTGGCGATTTGGTGCAGTATTCCCCCAAGCTGGACGGGTCTCTGCTGTTCATCGGGCGGAAAGACAGGCAGGTCAAGCTTCGCGGGCAGAGACTCGAATTGAGCGAGGTGGAATATCACGCGTACCATACCCTGGCCGGAACATGGGAACTTGTGGTGGAGCTTATCAACTCGCAACATAACCCGGCACTGGCCCTATTCTTGGCAGAGAAACAGGACAGTCCGAAGCCCTGTGGGGTCCTTTCCATGACACCTGCTTGGCGGAGTGTTATGAGCCGTCTTCGGGATACTCTGGCGAGCCGATTGCCTCCTTACATGGTACCAACCGTGTGGATCCCTATCACTCAAATTCCGCTCTCTTCATCGCAGAAGACAGATCGCAGGTCCTTGCAAAGTCTGGCAGGGGACCTCAGCGCAGAACAATACCAGACGTATATCCTGGCCTCCTCGTCGGAAGCCACGCCAGGGCTGACGCACCGCCATCTGAAAGAAGTGCCGCTCAACGAGAACGAGCTTGTCCTGCAGGACTTGGTCAGACAGGTATTTACCGGCGAAGATGGATCTTTGTCCGTGGCTTCCATACCAATGGATGGGTTATTCACGGATATCGGTGGCAATTTCCTAGGCGCCTTGGCGTTGACTTCGCTGGCCAAGCAGCACGGATTTTACTTTACGGCGGGGGATGTGTTGGGCTCGAGTCTTGGAGAGTTGGCAAGTATGAGACATACTTGACTATTTGGTAATAACATCACTACACATTATGTTTAGATAGTTTCGTGACCAGGTACAAATGCATCAGACTCGTCACTTCAACTCCCGCAAAATGATTACAAGGGAAAACTATACGAAGAAAAAAAAAAGAAAAGAAAAGAAAAGAAAAGAAAAGGGAAAAAAAAAGAAAAGAAAAGAAAAGAAAAGAAAAGAAAAGAAAAAAGAAAAAAAAAAAAGGGGGAAAGAAAACAATTTGTACTTGATGGTCCTAGGGTAGGTTACCATATCGCCTTAGGCAGGCCCAACCATTGGTCATTCGATTTGTCCTGCTGCTCGATCTGCGAACACTCAATCGACAACTTATATGCTCCCAGCAGGAATTATATACATGAGACCAGCACTGACATTACCACCATCACCTCAACCGAGTTGAGCCGTCGTCGGTACTACTTCTCCATCTCTTCAACCACTTCCCGCTGGATCCCCCGACTGCGGATCAAAAGCCCATTTCCATCGAATTCGAGCATATGCACATCATCCATTACTCCCTTTCCTAACCTTCCCTCCACACGCGAATACACCCATACACGGAGTCCCTCGGCAATAGTCGCCAAAATTTGGACACGAAAGTCTGGACTTTCATCTAGGACTTGTGGCCAGAACGCGAGCAGCTCTGCAGTGGACATGGAAGGTAAATCATTGTGTTTGAACTGCGCATCTGGGTGAAGGTAGTGCTCGATTGAAGCTGCCTCCCGACGATTTACGATGGTGGTAAGGAAGGTTTCGGCACGGCTTTTGAGGTCCATAATTTAGCTAAGCAAATAAGGGAGTAAAATGGCTTGGGTTGAGTAGCTTCAGGTGTCTGAAATGGAGAAAAAGATACTTCTTAGCATGTGGGCAACTTTCACCCCGTTAGCAGGGGCTCTTCACGATAGAAATACCTGTTGGGCCAGTTACCCAGGTCGTCCATTGACGTGTAAATATGCACAGTTGACGTGTAGAGGACATCTACACGCCAGTAATGATGGGCACACCTGGAAGTCACGTTGATGCGATTCCCTATAAAAAATTCGTTGCACAGCACCTTACGGAGACCCCTCTGCCTCTTATACCCTCAGAGTCGAATTTCTAAAAAGTCGTCCACACATCATGTCGTCCGCTCCGATCCCCCAATCCGAGCCTCTGGCTATTATAGGCCTTGCATGCAAGTACGCCAATGGGATTGACTCCCCAGAGGCCCTTTACGAGCAGGTCATGGCTGCCAGATGCATGCATGGCGCGATGCCGTCCAACCGTATGGACGCCTCCTTCTACTATCATCCTGCGTCTGAGGCAACCGGCACCAGTTACTCGAGGGGTGGCTATTACCTGAACTGTGATCTGAATGCGTTTGATTCCCCTTTTTTCCAGCTGTCGGAGATCGACGTCATGGCTATGGATCCGCAGCAAAAGATGCTTTTGGAGAACGTGTATCACGCCCTCGAGAATGGTATGTTCCACTTAGAGCATTGGCACTACCAAAGCTCATGGTCCGACTGATGTATCCTTAATATAGCTGGTATTCCGTTGAAGAATGCGATATCATCACCCACATCTGTCTTCGTCGGATGTTCCAACAATGACCACCTCGCGCTAGCCAACTCTGACCTTCTACTGTCCCTTAAGGGCAAAGGCACCGGAACAAGCCCGTCCATCCTGGCAAACCGCGTCAGCTGGTTCTATGACTTCCAAGGGACCAGCCAAACAATCGATACAGCCTGCTCAAGTAGTTTGGTTGCCTTTCATCAGGGCTGTATGGACGTTCGTGCCGGGAAGTCAGCCATGGTCTGAAAGCCTCACCCACCAGCAAAATATATTATTTCTCCATTGGTCATGCAACCTCTGAAGACCCTATGCTAACCTACGGACTAGTCAATCATTAGCGGTATTAATCTCATCGAGCACCCCGGGCCGACGCTGTACCTTTCCAGCCTTGGGGTCCTCTCTCCAGATGGCAAAAGTATGAGTTTCGATGCCCGCGCCAACGGCTACGGGCGAGGCGAAGGCGTCGGGACCGTCATCGTTAAACCCCTTCAAGCCGCCCTTCGCGATGGCAATCGCATCCGGGCTATTGTTCGCAGTACGGGCTCAAACCAAGACGGTCGGACTCCCGGAATTACCGTGCCTAACCCCTCGGCCCAAGAACGGCTCATCCACGATGTCTATCGAGTGGCGGACCTGGATCCGAGACGCACTGGGTACGTGGAAGCTCACGGTACGGGTACGCAGGTGGGCGATCCCCTGGAAGTGCAGGCTATTTTAGCTGCATTAGGTGTTGCCCGCGATTCGCCCCTCTATGTTGGATCGGTGAAATCCGTGCTGGGACACTTGGAAGGTGGCGCAGGACTGGCAGGGCTGATCTCAGCCACACTGGCTGTAGAGTCGAAGATGATACCCCCAGTGGCAGGCTTGCAGAGCTTGAACCCCAAGATTCCTCAACGCGATGACCTGAAATTTGCAAGAGAGGCAACCCCTTGGCCGCGACAGGATGTCAGGCGAGCTTCCATCAACTCGTTCGGATTTGGCGGCACAAATGCACATGCTGTGGTGGAGGACGTGGAGGGGTTCTTCGCGGATCTTTTTGGTCAGTATATCCCTGGAGCATTGCCCGCGCCTGAACTCGATACTAGCTTGGAAACCACCCCAATGCTGTCAAAGCCTCTTATGTCTGGCAATGCTTCCAATCAGTCCGTCCAGCCCTGGTCAACGAGCCGGCTTTTCGTGATATCGGCTTTTGATGAAGCGGGAATCCAGCGGAATACAACTGCATTGGCAGAGTATCTAGATTCCAAGAGCACTACAGCGGATACAGATGGAGAGAATCGGTTGCTCAACAATCTGTGCCACACGTTGAATGAGAAGCGCACCCGGTTCGACTGGCGCAGCTACCATGTGGCAGACAGCATCGCCAGTCTCCGCGAGTCCTTGCAGCATTCGCGGGCTATCCGCCAGTCATCTGCTCCCAAGCCCATCCGGTTTGTCTTCACCGGACAGGGAGCTAATTGGGCAGGCATGGCGTGTGACATGATGAAATATCCGCTTTTCCGGCGGAGAATACAGGAGGCCGCAGCGTACTTGAGGGAGCTGGGCAGTGGCTGGGATTTATTTGGTAAGTCTACTCAGATTTCTTTGTGAGGCGTGAGGGCAACGACGACTGATCGCAAGTCAGAACGGATGACCTCTAAAGCAGGGGAGTTGGATGAGCCCACCTTCGCGCAGTCCTCCTGTGTTGCCGTGCAAGTCGCTCTGGTGGACCTTCTTGCCAGCTGGAAAGTCGTGCCTGAAACGGTGGTGGGACATTCTTCGGGCGAAATAGCTGCGGCATATTGCGCAGGACATATCTCCCGGCAGGCAGCATGGAAAGTAGCCTTCTGTCGAGGCAAAGTGTGTGCTCGACGAACAGACGGGCAGGGTCGCATGCTCGCAGCTGCCATGCCAGTCCATCAACTGGAGCGAGTGGTGGCCCGCGTCAACAAGGGTCAACCGACATCTGTCAAGATTGGATGTTACAATAGCCCGAGAAATCTGACCCTGACAGGTCGATATGATGATATCCTCCGGCTCAAGCTGGAGCTTGATGATGTTGGCGCCCTGAATCGCATGCTTCCCGTCAAAGTCGCCTATCATTCAGATTACATGCAAGACGCTGCACCAGAGTACTTGAGCTTACTGGGTGAAATCTTGGATGGGGGTGATACCATTCATAAGGATGCCTCCATCCAGATGATCTCGTCGGTGACGGGACAGCCAGTGCCCGCTGGAGACGTTCAGCAGGCTTCGTACTGGGTAAAAAACCTCGTCTCCCCAGTTCGGTTTTGCACTGCCCTTCTGGCATCCATGGAGTTTCCTGGAACGACAGGCAAACGAGAGGATACACTCATCGAAATTGGCCCACACTCAACGCTGCGGAGTGCAATCAAGGAATCATTCGCCGAAGTGCCCGAATACCAGTCCGTTCAGTACGGCAGTCTGCTAAAACGTTACGAGACGAACGGATCTACAATCTTGCACACGCTTGGAATGATGTTCTGCTCCGGTCATGAGATCAGTTTGGCCGCCATCAACGACCGTCGCGTTGGAACGCGGAAGATTCCCATGTTACTGACGGGCCTGCCTGGCTATGCGTTTGATCACTCCAGATCAGTGCATGGGACTTCGCGTCGGATTGAGCAGGTCAAGTTTCCGACATACAACCGACATGAGTTGCTTGGGGTACCGGTCGAAGACAGCAACCCCTATGAGCAACGATGGCGGAATGTCCTCAGGCCAGATGATCTGCCATGGCTACGCATGAACCGAGTGAGGATTCCCAGTTTACTAACGTATTGAGCCCCTAATACTGACTCAACCAGATGAAAGGGCAAATCCATTTCCCGGGGGTGGCATATATATTGATGGCTACCGAGGCTCTGCAACAACGTGTCGCACGGACGATGACCATCCCCAGGGTAAGGATAGCGAATATGTCGATCCTGGCTCCTTTACAGGTGCCGGATAGCCCTTCTGGCGTGGAGATACAGGTCTCTATCTACCCAACGAATGTGCGCGCCAACGGGGCGACCGATTGGGCAACGTTCCGGATCATCTCCTATGACACTGCGGAGAAGGCCTGGGTTGAGCACTGTGTTGGTTCGGTTCGAGCTGAAACCGGACCACCTGATCTATGTGTGAACACTGCGCTGCGAAAGCAGTGCGCCGAGCCAGTGGACATCGCGCAGATGTATCACGGCTTTACAGCGGCTGGCATGGACTTTGGGGAAAACCTGAGGAATATCCAGGCCATGAAGGTGTCGCCCGACCGCACAGCCTGCACAGCGACCATCGCAGCCCCTAGCATAGCTCCCCAGGCCCACGATCAGTACGCCTTACATCCTTGCTCCTTTGAAAGCATTCTACACGCCCTACTTTACCTATGCGAGGCTTCACAGAGCCCCATGGTGACCAACTACATCGAAGAGGTGGTGATCGTTAACCCCAATGAC